CAAGTTGAGTTTTGTTTTCATTTAGTTTTCTTAAAATACTTTAATATCATGTATAACAGTATCACTGTATTTTGACTTGTTTGATCTGACAAAACGACATATTTTTTTTACCCTAAACAACAAGTCAACAACAACAACAAAAATTCTGTAAACCAACAAAATAAAAAATGGTGGCCTTAGTGTATATATGCAAGTTTGTGCACGTGAGCATGGCTGCATAGAACATCACCCCTATTCACCAAGTATAATCTAGACAAGTATCTAGGGAGATGTACAGGATGCATTAGGTTGGAAAATGTTGCAGAGAAACATTGCTAGCTGAAGTTACTTCATGAGTTTATCCAAGAGTCACATAGAATTCACACAAAAATACTTCAGGTCTACTCAGGTTGTGTTACAGCAGTGAACGATTGCCGTTACGATGTTTTGCTTGCTGCTAGGGGATAGCTATGCCCGTGGCGGTATAGCGATCATTACTGGTTGCCCTCTTGAACTATGACCAGGGACATATATCATCCCCTTCTGCTTCTCACGACCGAAGATTGTCATTACACAAATAGCACAACAGGCAAACATGATAAAAAGTTCAAAAACACCCAATGTGACTAAAATGATATGAAGAATATAGGCAGCATAGTACCACTCGCATATGTTCAGGTTTCTGTCAGGATCAATGTAACTACGATTGCAGTAGAAGTGAACGCGGAAGCCTTTGATGCTAAGGCCGATCAATATGGCTGCGAAAATAACTGCAATGATTGTCAGGCCCATAAATATTTTGATGCGCAAACGCTGTTTGTTGCGGCAGGCGAAGACACCCATGACACCAACACCGATGAAGACCAGGCCACACCAGATACCTCCACCCGAATTCCAGAGGGAGGTCAAACACGAAATGATGATCTCCATTACCATGCACAGGACACCGAATACGATGCTGATTATGGAGAGAATAAATGCCGGTCTATCAGCAAATCCTAGTGGACGTTGACGAACAATCTTTGCTAAGGCATCAGCAGTATCTGTGTGGGATCTAGGTTCAGTAGTATAGCTCTTCTCAGAGGTATCTATGCTTGCATTATGTGGGTTGTCATGTCCTGTATCAGGTTCCATCATCGTGGTTTAAGGACCTGTAATAGGAAAACTATCATTGCTCAGCCATACACCAATTTCATTCAATCTCAGCACGTAGGAGCTAGACCTGTATCCATATCTATCTCAGGTTCACAGAAATATTGTCAGGTTATATATTGACATATCAGGTTAGGTGAGAATTTTTTATTTTGTTGGTTTACAGATCCGCCGACCCGAATTTTCAAGAAAAACGAAACAAAATAAAAATTGAAAATCTGTATTTTTTTATTCCCGCCGACCCTTTCTCTAAGAAATATGAATAAAAAAAAATTTAATGTAAAAAACAAAAACATTTCATAAACAAATAGTTTATAATAAAAGTAAAATAATTACAAGTTGAGTTTTGTTTTCATTTAGTTTTCTTAAAATACTTTAATATCATGTATAACAGTATCACTGTATTTTGACTTGTTTGATATATGTGAACACATTTGGGACTAACAGAGTTTACTAGAATCCCACCACTCCACCACAGAGTCACCGCAGTAGACGTTAGATGAGCGCTGTCGCTCCGCGGCACTTGTTTTATAAAGTATATTTTTTTTATAAAGTATAAAGTATTGTAAAATAAAATGCAAATTCATGTCAATTCATGGGTTCACATTTATTTATTATTATACGAGTATATTATTACACATTGCATCACATTAATGCTTGACATTTGTGGCCTTTTATTGTTCGCTGGAATCAAAGTACATCAACAACAACGGCAAATCTAATAATTTACTGATGTAAATTTTCATATGGCTGAAAAATGTTACGACCGAGAGCTTCTGGACTCATTCCGGGGCACCGGGAGCTAAGTTGGCATAACAAGCAACAAGTGAAAATGAAAGTGTCAATGACACATCAGCTCACCTTCGGTGTGATAGAAGAGGGAGATGATATTAAAAATTTAGTAAGTGTTTCTTTTATGACGGACCGAAATGTGATCAAATGTCCTTATTCCCTGTTTAATACTAATAGACATTTCACTGTTTTGTTTCAGGGTTAGTTTTGATGCGAAAATAAATGCTTCAGATCTGAAATTCTGAAATCTGGGCGAGAGATGGCGCTACGCCTAAATGATCGCCATTTTGGTTTTCGATTATTGTGCAAATAAATGCAATAAAAGATTCCAGTCGAATTACTGTAACGAAGAATCTAAAACACAATATTACACGTAGGTATGATTAGGTAGGTAGGTAGGTAAATTCACCAAAATGGAATGAATTTAGATAGCCATTTTCATTTTTGCCAAAAAGTGGACGTGGCTCGAAAATAGGTCGACTGTCGTGCTCCAAAATAGGACGTTCAAATCTCTCCCATGATAAGAGTAACAACTGTATGCAATTTGAAACATGTGGGTGAAACGGTTCTTGAGTTATCGTTAACCGTAGGCAGACACTGAAATGCATAGTGAAATTGGCAAAATCTGTTGAAAAACGTAGCAGAGTCTAAATGTCGCGACTGTGTTACTTGTCTATTGTTTGTGTACATCTCGCGTGTTCTCACACGATGCGAGACTTGTTGCTTGCTTACGTGAATTAAAACGAGACTATACACGTTATATCAGACTTTGCCATCTTATTTATTTGAAATAAAGCCAGATAAACCTAGAATTACAACAGGTTATGGGCCCAGATCGCTTGCAGGATTGTTTATACGCAGGTTGGTTTTAGTTTCAACGGCGGACGGCGTAACTGGACATTGATACCGGCGGTTTTGTATTGGGTGGTTGTAAATACAAAAACAAAGAAAAAGTAAACAAAGGAAAATGGCGACCGGAACGATTTCGAATGGAATCAGTGCTCTGAAGGGATCGAACTACGCGACATGGAAGGTGCAATGTCAAATGGCCTTGATGAAAGACAATTTGTGGGACATTGTGTGTCGTGTTGAGGCAAAGCCTGATCCAGTGGCAGATGCGGACCGGTGTGTGAAGTTTGTGTGTAGGGCCAACAAAGCCTTGGCTATCTTTGTGTTAGCGGTAGACCCATCACTGCTTTACTTGATAGGTGAGCCCACAGATCCCTCTGTAGTCTGGGAAAAATTGAGGGATCAGTTTCAGAAGAAGACGTGGGCAAACAAGCTGGTGCTGAGGAGAAGATTGTTCTCATTGCGTCTTCAGGATGGAGAGCCAGTTACAGAACATATTAAGTCTATGATGGAAATATTCAACGAGCTGGCCATCATTGGGGACCCCATTGATACGGAGGATAGGGTTGTGTATTTGCTGGCGAGTCTCCCAGAATCATTCAGCATGCTCGTGACAGCACTCGAGGCAAGCCCTGAGGTCCCAAAGATGGATCTGATGACTGAGCGACTACTAAATGAGGAGAGGAAGCAGAAGGAACGACTACCTCGGGATACTGTTTTCATGTCGAAAGGAAAAGGCAGCAAAATTCACAGAGGAAAGGGCCTAAGTGCTATGGGTGTCAACAGATAGGGCACTTAAAAAGAGACTGTCCTGTGTTAAAGAAGCAGAAGCCTAAGCACAAGGCCAATAATGTAAAAACCAGAGAATCATCGGATGAGCATGTAGGTTTTGTGGCGTGCCATGCACTTACTAGCATGTCAAGAAGAGACGATAAATGGCTCATTGACTCTGGGGCTACATGCCATATGTGTAACAACAGTGCTACGTTCGACAACATGGTGCCTATGAGAGATGGACACAAAGTGATCTTAGGTGATGGACACTGTGTTAAGGCTGAGGGTAGTGGCACGGTCAGCCTGTCTGTGAAGCGGGACGATGATACACAGGCTATCAAGTTGTATGACGTACTGTACGTGCCTGGGCTAGCATTCAACCTAGTCAGCGTGCCAAAGGCGATGAAGTCTGGTGTGTCAATGATATTTGACGGGAATGACTGCAGGGTGACTACCAGCAATGGGAGGGTAATTGCTAGAGCCAAACTGGAGGGAAGTCTGTTTACCATGCCAGTTGTAGAGGAGCAATGTGTAAACAAGGCGTCCACATCAACAGACGGGTGTGGCACCAGCGCTACGGTCACCTCAGTTCCCAGAGTTTGAATGACTTGCAGTCTAAGGACATGGTGAAGGGACTTGAGTGTATGAAATCCGGCGATATTGGTTTCTGCGAAGCTTGCACTGAAGGGAAAATTCATCGGGCTATATTTCCAAAGGCAAGTGAGAGGCGGGCTACACAAGTACTTAGACTTGTTCATAGTGATGTCTGTGGTAAACTGAGCACAAAGTCACTGAGTGGTGCTCAGTATTTCCTCACTTTTATTGAAAATTTCTCCAGATACACATGGGTGTATTTCCTTAAAGGAACAGTAGCCTCTAGGTTCTAGGGTTATTTTCAGCTAATTTAGGTTATAATTGCGCTACATAAAAAGTTTCATGGTTCAATCACCATTAGAAATATTTTTTAAATATGTTTTAAAACTAACGACTACAGTTTGATTACAATGACGGTGGCACCACTCAAAGCGCACGATCTGAGAAGTTGCGCAAAACCACTTTCCAGCCAAGGGCTACAGACCGAGGGTATTTCTTATTTATTCATTTAAAAGCAAAAGGATTGTAATATCTTATAAACGACATATAGTTTCAGTTATAATCAGGGTTCGACACTAACGCTAGTCCGTTAGTCCGAGACTAGTAAAAAACCAGAAGGACTAGTAGATTCCCATAGCAGTTAGTCCGGCGGGACTAGTTATATTTTCCCGTCCCTCACCGTCCCAATTTCCCATCGATTTTACCAGCGGCAGCGTCTCTCAACCAAGATCAAAAGAGCTATATATAACTCATTTCGGAGTCATTCCCATTAACAAGTTTTCCTTGTTACTCTTGTACTTCTTGTACTACTTGTTGACACTCTAGTACAAGTAGAGGCTATTAAGCACGCTCTGCACGCCCTAAGCATGCTAGACCCTACTGCAGTATAAACATTGTTAAACAATGGGGCCACGAACCCAGTCTACCAATGGATTGCTTGACAGTAGCTGTTGACATAGAACAAACGGTCTGATTGTAGAAATGACGCAACTAATCAGTTATAGGCTCTCGTATTTACATCGCAACAACATCGCATGCGTGTGCTACTTGAAGCAGTCCATACAAATAGTAGTGAAGCTAATAGTAGGTACATCCTTATCCAATAGTATAATAATTTATACTAACATCAAGGTAGTTATGTGGAAGTATTTGGACGGCGCTCGCCCTCCACCTCCCAAACGTAAATCGCAGGAGGAGAAATTAGATGGCCAGCGTGTCTATGATAAGACAGCACCATGCCTGTTCACGAAACAGTGGGGGCCCAAGTGACCCAGAACTGAGATTGAAATGGTGTGTGGCGATCAAAAGAGGTGATGAAAGTGCACACGCACGCACGTGTACGTGCACACGCACGCACGCACGTGCACACGCACCCACGCACGCACACACGTGTACGTGCCCACGCACGCACGTGTACGTGCACACGCACGCGCGCACGTGTACGTGCACACGCACGCACGCACACACGTGTACGTGCCCATGCACGCGCGCACGTGTACGTGCACACGCATCCACGCACACACATGTACGTGCTGACGTACGCACGTACGTGTACATGCACACGCACGTGTACCTGCACACGCACGCCCGCACGTGTACGTGCACACGCACGCACGCACACACTGTAAAGTATGGTGTAATTATTTTTACTTTTATTATAAACTATTTGTTTATGAAATGTTTTGTTTTTTACTTCAATTTTTTTTTATTCATATTTACTAGAGAAAGGGTCGAGGGGGGATAAAGAAAATAACAGATTTTCCAATTTTATTTTGGTTTGTATTTTCTTGAAATTCGGGTCGGCGATGTCGTGTAACCAACAAAATAAAAATTCTCACCTAACGCTGATATGTCGAATTATATAACTGACATATTTGATGT